TATATATATAAAATAATGCTTAAAGTGTTTGTCTTCACTTATTTTTCCTTCCTTAATGAAGTGTTGCTTGAAGCCCATTGCTGGCTTAACTCAAGGAGTGGAATTCAAGTCCAGCTGGAAAAAGGATTCACTTCAAAAATTTTGTGAGAACTTAATTTCAGCTTTAAATCCAACATCTCAGCCCAAAATAGGTGGGAAAACAAAGAGCACCAGGAGCTGAGCTCTCTGCAGAAGCCCCAGCAACCAGAGTTGATTTCATTATAGAGATCTTCAGTATTAGAGGTTTTAAGATTATTTTTTTCCTGATTCTTCCTTACACCTCACTGCATAGCAACAAACAAATTGAACTCATTTAACAGAGCTGTGCTTAGGTGTTAAAGCACTTTCCCACTGCAGTAATCTTTGGGGGTTTTTTTTTTAGTACCATAACTGTGCATATACATGAGATGTTTAACACCACCAGCAATAAACACCCACTTACCCTCAGGGAACCTTTATAGACAAAGAAATATTTTCTAAAATGAAGTAAATAGAATTATTAACATGTAAAGCATTTGCATTAACTCTGAGATAGAACAAATGAGATAACCTGAGGGTTTTTTTTCTCAATAACCAAAGATTTTAGTTTGATTTTACTCTGAATGTTGGGCAGCTCGTTTTCCAGACCAGGGAAATGTGGCAGATCTGCTGGATCTGTTCTTCACCAAACCACTTCAATCAGGGGCACTCTAGAAGTTCTCTCCTGAGTCAGGAGAAGGTGGAGATTGATTTGAGCTGGTGGGTGAGAGAAGGTGCTGAAGGACAAGGTGTCCTGCTGGGCACGGGTCACCATCAGAGATTCTTGAGTGTGAAGCTGCAGCTGGATGTTGGGTTTTATCTCTAGATAACTTTCCTCAAAAAGTGGGGAATAAACTCATGGAACATGGTGGGTTGGAAGATTCAGAGAGGGAGTTGAGGTACAGTTGAAGTCCCATGGTTGTTAGAATGTCTGTTTATGGGAAATTCCTTCAGTTGGAAGGAGAAGGTTGAACAGAAATTGAAGACACCTTAAAAATTATGATGTGACAGTACCTGGTTGGTGAATAATTCAGTGTGAAAATCTGAGTTGGGTTTATATTTCTTAGATGAGATACATCCTTAGAGCCTGTGGGTTAAAGCACACCCAAAATTGCACATGCTCATGGCTGTCCTGTCCCACAGAGATCCTCCCAGGCTGCTTGGGCAACGTACCAGCACTGGATGCTCCAGTTTTGGGGGGTGTGTTCCCTTTTGGTAGGACCATGTGATGTTCCTTGGCATCCCTCAGCTTGAAGTTCCTCCTGAAACGAGTGGTTGTCAGCGAGCTGCAAAACACAAGATGCTAAACATGGGAATATTTGGAGGTGGTTGTTGCTTACCCCAGCAGAGTCCATCACTTGGCATGCTAATGAATGAGAGAAAATGACTTAGCCCTAGTTAAATAAGATCTGCCTCAAGTTGCTATGGTAACAGAGGTCTGTGTCAAGGAGCTCTAGCTACCAGGCTGCTCCAGTCTTCCCATTTAAAGCAGCCAGTGGTTCTGAAACTCTGGGCTTTGTTCCCAGGAGATGTTGTAAATCTCAGTCCTGCTGGCTGCATGGGCTTGGAACTGGATGATCTTGAAGGTCCCTTCCAACCCAACCCGTTCCATGATAAAGCAAAGGGTGGGGTGAGCCTAAAGAAGGAACTGGGTAGTTGGTGATAGGATGGTTGATATCAAAAATGGCAGTGAACCTCAGTGAGGAGGGAGTTGAGGTGGTCTGGCAGCACAGCAAAGCTCTGTCACCCTGCAAGGGAATTCAGGAGCCCCTGTTGTTCACCCAGCTGCTTGTGTTACTCCTCCAGCTCTGCAAGCTTGGACCTTCAGCCTTCTTTATAGTTCCTTCTCTGGTCCTTTTCAGAGCCTAGAATCATGGGATTATTTAGGTTGGAGAGGACCTTTCAGATCAGGTGCAAGTGTTCCCCAGTCCCTGCCAGGTCCCCACTGCCCCGTGTCCCTCACCCCACATCTCCACAGCTTGGAAACCCCTCCAGGGGTGGGGACTCCACCACTGCCCTGGGCAGCCTGGCACAGCCCTGGACAACCCTCCAGGGCAAGAAATTGTCCTAATACCCAATCTAGAAAGAGAAGAGATCATGGATCAGTGGTTAATACCCAAAGAGATGTGTGTCATAGCAGGGCTCTAGTGATCTGACAGGAAGATGTATTAATTCATACAACAAGAGGGTGTTAAAGTCCTGGGTTTGATGATTTTTCAGTCCTTGTGGAGTCATGGTGAAGGCATTGAGTTTACTCAGAGGGTAGATTTGACTCCAGTAGTGGAAAAGGACACTCTGCATCTCAGGAGAAGTGCATCAAATTCTCTTCTTTGTCTAAATCTTTTCGTCTGGCAGTTGCTCAGGGTGCTCACCAGAGAGCAGAGATGTTGCCTCTGCCTTTCCCTGCTGATGCTCAGAGCACCTGCACTTGCTGCTCTCTCTTGCTGTCTGTGATACCCACCAAGATCTGCTGAGCCTTTGCTGGGGGGTGTCCTGAACATGATTCTGCTGTGAGAAACACATATTTATGTGTATAGAAGTAAAAGTTCTCTGTTTCTTTAAATATTATGAAGTCCTGGAAATACATGGAGAACATAACCCCACCCTCCACTTGCCCAAAGATGTCCCAGAGGTGCCCACCTTTGTCAGGCCATGGTTTGGGTAGGTTTCTGCTGTGAGGACATGCCACAGTTCAGTCTGTGCTCCTCCTTCCCCAGCCAGGTCCTGCCCCTCCTGCTGCCCTTCAACATCTCCTTGAACTCCCCCCTCACGCTGGCACCTGGGGAAATAAATCAGGGGGTGGCTGCTCCGCTGTCCACCCCTCCTGCTGCAGATTTGGGGGGGGTTTGTATTGGTCGTGGACAATATTCTCTGCATCTTCTTCTTCTTCTTCTTCCAGATCTGGCAGTGTGGTGGCTCCCTGGAGATCGTCACCTGCTCGCACGTCGGCCACGTCTTCCGCAAGGCCACCCCCTACACCTTCCCCGGGGGCACGGGGCATGTCATCAACAAGAACAACAGGAGGCTGGCAGAGGTCTGGATGGATGAGTTTAAGGACTTCTTCTATATCATCTCTCCAGGTGAGAAATCCTTGTCTGGCTGGAAAAAAGGGGAGTGTAAGGTCCGTACAGGTAAGTGTAGGATTGGGTGCGTGTGTAGGTCCTAAAAGCTGAGACCTAACAGCAAAAGCTCTTTCAGAAGCAGAGGGGTTGGGGCTAGATGATCTTCAAGGTCCTTCCCAACCCAAACCATTCTGTGATTCTATAAAATTCAAGGGAATGTCCTTTCCATGTGTCAGACAAACCCTTCTGTATTCTCCTCCCAAGGTTAAAAATGTTGGTTAAAGCTTCTCCTCGCCTGAAGATCTGTTTTGTTTTTTTTCTCCACAACATGATTCTCATGTTTGCAACCAAGCAGGAAAACTCTTTGACCCCTTTAATCAAAGAAACTCAGAATTTGGCCAGATTATTATCATCCCTGAAGGTCCCTTCAGGATGTATCAACAGGAGGGACTGCAGGGGTGCTCTGGGTCACGGTGGGGATGTCAGGAGCCCTTCAGAGCATGTGGGCAGCAGGAGCACAGGACTCAGTGCCATGGAGTGTCTTTAATGTGTCCCCAAGAAAGCTGGGGATGGACTTTTTATATGGGGTTACAGTGACAGGATGAGGGGCAATGGGTTCCAACTGGAAGAGGGGAGATTTAGATGAGAAATGAGGAAGAAGTTCTTCCCTGTGAGGGTGGTGAGCCCCTGGCCCAGGTTGCCCAGGGAAGCTGTGGATGCTCCATCCCTGGAGGTGTTCAAGGCCAGGCTGGATGGGGCTCTGAGCAACCTGCTCTAGTGGGAGGTGTCCCTGCCCATGGCAGGGGGGTGGAACTGGATGATCTTTCAGCTCCCTTCCAACCCAAACCCTTCTATGATTCTGCCAAGCATCAGCTTCAGGAGAAACTGTATTTAAACCTACAAATTCCTCTTCCTTTATATCAGTGATTTTCATTTACGTGTCAGTGTGGCACAGATGAATCATGGGCAGTGTAATCACAGACATCACACACAATTCCATGAGGTAAAAACCATATTCCTGTGTGATCTTGCAACAGGTACAACCTATGTGATCTTAAAACAGTTGTTGAGGGTTCTGCTTTGGGTAAATATTTTGATGAAATAACTCAGTGTTGTTATATTAAAGGTTTTGGCCTCCATGTGAGGGAGCTTAAGGGATTAAAAGCACTAAAAATGAAGTGGGACATGAGGATTTCTTTACTTTCCATGCCACCCTTTGAGGTCTCCCTCTGAAAAGACTTGTCCTGTTCAGCTTGGCATGGAGCTGCCCACCCACAGGGTCCCTGGTCCCTTCCTAAATAAATCTTGGTCTTTAGAATAATAACTCAGGTTTCTTTCAGGGCAGTTTTCATGTTCTTAGAGTATGTTCCTTCAGTGCTGGCTCTAGTAAAGACTGTTCTGTGCCTGTATTTCAAGCAGTCCTTTGGTCACAGCTGACCTTGCAGAGCAGCATTTGAACTGAGCCTTTTCTTTCCATAAATCAGGACCAGGAGTTTTATTTAATGTGATTTGCCTGAAATAAATGAGGAAATAAGGTTAAAGCACTTTATAAAGCCATTTCTCTTGTAAAGATTTGTGTATGAAATGGGAAACTCTTCTAGGTGGGTTTTTTTTTTTCACTCCAATCACTTTTAGTGATGCCTCAAAATTAGACAGTTAATGAAAACTAAATTGCTTCAGCTTAAAAGCCAGAATGTCTCAGGTATGAATGCCAGTTAATATTCATAGCATTTGTAGATGATTACTTACAATCTCTGTGGCAGAGAGCAGCTCTAGACTGTCTAAGCTATTGTTACCATTTTATTGTGTGCTCTGGGATGCTCTTCCCATTTTTCTGCCTTTAAACTTTCTTCCCATTTCAATTCTGTAGCGACAGCATCAGTTTGAATTTTCATTGCCACCAAGAAATAAACCCCAGAGCATATTATTATCCAGATGAGTTTTTCATTTCATCTCCAGCCCAATTTACTGTTGTAATACCTCAGCTCATTCCAGCTGCAATCCTGCTTGTTTCCACGAGCCTGATTTTTGCCAGGGGTTCAGGACATTTCAGTCAATGATCAGATGCCACCATGAAATCACAGGTTGGGAGGTTGGGAGAACTCTCAGTTTCTGCATGTTTTATCCCACGTGTCTCGTGTTCATAAAATATCCATCCTGGCAAAGCCTTATCAACCAGAAAACTTAAAGCACCATGGAAAAAAAATCCCATGCCCAGCTGAAGTGCCCTGTTAATGGTGTAAAAAAGATACTTATGTATATGTACACTCCACAGGGAGCTCTAGAAATGTGTATGCAGCCCAAAGATGGAAGCATGAAACAACTCTTTATTTAAATGCCATGGAGATGTGGTGCTGAGGGCCATGGTTTAGTCCTGCTCCAGCCCTTAGCACCTGGCACTCATGGTCTAGGAAGGATGCCTGGTCTCCTCAAGAAGTAGCCAGTCAGTTCCCTGCAGGGACCAGCCTCTGAGGAAAGGGTTCTTGGTCTCTAGGAGGGGTGAAACTATGGAAGAGGACCAGATGTGCCTGGCTTCAGGGCCAGTAACCAGCCAAACTAGCCAGCGAGGTGAACCCCCACCCTCTGCAGCCTGTGTTGTGTGCAGGTAGCAGTGGAGTTGCTGGAGGGCAGAGCAGGGTCCCCAGGAGCCCTTGGTATCTTCAGGTCCTGTGAGTCCTCTGCTATCTGTGGTCCTCCTGAGGCACTGTGAGGATGAGCTGCTGCCTCAGTCTGGAGGAACAGTTCTGCTGGGGAAGCTGCTGCTGTTTGCCATCACTCCCAGTGCTGGTGGTGTGGACATCTCCTGCCACACCTGCTGGATGGGCACCAGGCATTCCACGTGGTTGGGACTGAACCCAACGTAGAGGATAACCACAGAATGAGTGGAAACCAACCACGTTGACAGGGTCCTCTGAAATGTGGCAGCTGAGCTGGGTGTGTGATGGGCAGGAGTGTGACCCTTTGTAATGATACCTTCCCCACTGAAGCTGAGGGAGAAGAGCCTGTGACAGAACATCTGCCTGACTCCTCCTCACATCATCGATTCCTCTTCACCCACAAGAGGAAGGGAGAAAATGGGAAAAAAATAAATCTAACTCTGGCAAGTGATTGTCTATGATGATGTGAAAATGAACTCAAAACCCACGGGAGATGCAGGCAGGTTCAAACCATACCCACATCCCAGGGGATCAGCCATTCTTTAAGTCACTTCTCCCTTATCAAGTTCTCTTCTTGTGCAGTCCTGTAGTGCCAAGTTCCCATTTTGGTTGAGCTAAGGGCATTTGGAGTCATTTGCCCTGAAAAGGTCCCTTTTCTTGTGAGCCTGAGGCATGCAAATGCCACAGTGAATACTCACCACTTAGTGTCTACTTATCTTCTGCCCTGACAGCACTCCTGAGAGCCTGAGTAGGACTTGGTTGCTTTAAAGCATTTAGGTGAGCCACAGCTCTAAAAATATCAGACTAAGGGCTATAGAAAATACATTTACAATGAGATATTGGCCAAGTGCATTGAAATGCAGCTCAAACATTGACAGGCAGAGTGGAAGAATTGAAACGTTCCCCTTCCAGTGAGCACCAGAGGAAGTCACTGCTGGGGAGGTTTCTAAAATATTTCAGTTAAAAAACACTTTCAAGTGGGTTATGGTTTAATTCTCAGATTCCTAAATGCAGCACTCCAAATCCTGGCTCAGAACTTTTAGTTTTTTCTATTCTTTTTGTTTTGGAGTCTTCTAGGAGAGGGTCCCTTTGGTTCAACAGGACTCCTCCAGTAGGTCTTGATTTTTATTATTTGTTTCCAAAGAATTTCTGAGCTATTCAGAGTTCAGGCATTTAGTGCTGAGAAAAAAGGTTAAGTTTGGATGTAGAAATTAAAATTAAAAGGCTGTGGAGCATTTTAAATCAGAGATTGAGTTTTGAGAGTGTAGAATGAGGAGCTCGTTGGGTGATGTAAATCAGGAGCTGGATGGATGGATGGATGGATGGATGGATATTGGCTCTCCAGGTTTGGAGAAGTGATGAACACTGACATGTCATCTTCTGGACTGGCCAGTATCCTGCAGTTCAGCTGGGTAGGAAACCTCCAATTTGGATTTTTGGAAGCATGTAGGTGTTGTTGATAGCAGAAGCCTTTGTGAAGCTCTGTCTAGAAGAGCACCAACCATGTGAGAGGTCAATGAGCAGGCCTTGTGAAAACTCCTCAGAAGCACTTGGATAGGAATTAAAGATTAACTCATAGAATCACAGCAGGGTTTGGGTTGGAAGCAACCTTAAAGATCATCCAGTTCCAACCTCCCTGGCAGGAGCAGCGACACCTCCCACCAGACCAGGCTGCCCAGGTTTGCTGTTGTGTTAGAGAAGAGCTGCTGAGGTTGCTCTGGGTGCTCTGTGGCTCCCTTTGCAGTCCCCTTGCTTTCAGCAAGCAGCTGAGGAGGATTTAGTCAGGGATATTTTTTAACTGCAGTGTCCAATGTTAGACTTCCTAGCCTGCATCTCCTCAGCTGGTGTCTGAGGGGAGAAGACATCCCTTCTCCCATTCAGAAGACCAGTTCTTGCCCTAGGCCATCTTAACGTGGGCTCTGATTCTAAAAATACAGTTTTCATAGAACCATTCTGGTTGGAAGAGAACCTCAAGGTCATTGAGTCCAAATGCTCACCCATCCCTGCCAGGTCCCCACTGCCCCGTGTCCCTCACACCACATCTCCACGGCTTGGAAACCCCTCCAGGGGTGGGGACTCCACCACTGCCCTGGGCAGCCTGGCACAGCCCTGGGCAACCCTCCAGGGGAAGAAATTGTTCCTCAGGGACAACCTCAACCCCCCCTGGGGCAACTTGAGGCCTTTTCCTCTTGTCCTGTCCTGTCTGAAGGTGAGTTGCCTGTCCCCCTGGGATGCTCAACAGCAAGGAGCACAACAAGGCACCACCCCTGGAGGGGTTTAAATGACATGGAGATGTGGTGTGAGGGACACGGGGCAGTGGGGACCTGGCAGGGATGGGGCAACACTTGGACTTGATGATCT